TCAAAGAATCTATTGATATAACTTTTATTTAAATCGGTCCAGTAATTTCTGATATTAGCGCGTTCAAACATACAAACTCTTCAGCTTTATAATATTATATACTATATAAATACAGTTTTTTATACTACGTCACACAATTGAGTTTTTTTGATTGATATATTTGTATGATTATTTTCTAGACTTGGTCACAGCGAAATCCATAACATTTGGTATTTTACATTTTGTTGAATTTATTCTTCTGTGAATGAATATTTGTGACGTTCTTTCAGTGTGTGTTGGTTGTCAATCTTCATAAATTGGTTGATCATATTTTAACATTGGTAAACTTAAACCGCTAAGCCACTTGTGCAATTTGGTATGTCCGATTCTCAGTTTATTCATAGTATTGTTTTTGTATTTTCTTCTATAAATTTATCGTGCTATATAATTTAGTTTAGTTTTCATTTCAATGCTGTTGAGTGCATTTTTAAACCAACGGTCTTGAAAAGATGAATCCATTAAAAATAGATCTAATTTTTGTTATGATATTTAACACAAAATTTTAAACTAAACATCTGAAGTATAGTTATTATTATAAACCACGGTGTTTCTTTACTGATACAAATTATTTCATATTTTTATTTACTTCTCTGGGTAGATGGTAGAATATTATATATTACATATCATATAATATTATGATGGTACAAGGGCATCGGTAGTATATTTTCAGTTTAGATTAAATAGATTGTACATAGTGTACAATATTGAATCCAATTGGTTGGTACTTAGACTAATTCTAGTTGTTGATGCTTGTATGACACAAACAGTAGAATGGGTTCGATGGGTCAGTAATATATACTTTTAGTAAAAGTATTATTGACGGTTGTAAGTTCACTATAGTATATGTATTATTAGCATATTAGTTTTTGATTGGCTTCCCCCTTTAAGCTGTATTTTCAGAGACGAGAGAAACAGCGGATCAATGGTGTTATTCTAGTACATATTAGGCCCTTAATATACTGTTGAGTTACAATAGAGGCATAATGTAAAAACTATATCAATATAAGTATTTTAACAATACAGGTTTACACTATAGAAAACTATATAAATTTAGTATTTCAAACAATTCAAACTTAAAAAATACAAATGGACATATTCATAGTCATTAAGAAATTTAATGAAACACGCAAATTTTATCCACCGGTTTGTTTTGTTATATTTATCATATAATATGTATTTTCATTTCATGTGTTCGATTATCTACGTCCTAACTTATAATTTCAAATTCCTTATAAAGTATCAGAAAATGAAATAATTCATACATTTTGCAAATAAATAGTTTTTGTTTATTACCTAATTAAAGTTACATTTATAACGAAACAAAATAAATACTGTTCCCTTTAAAATTAATATTAAAACATATTTGAAATCATCTAGTAAAATTGTTTTGTATTTTTGCTGGGTTTCATTTAAATCATAGAATAAATAATAACTAATATTATAAGTCAATTAGAATTTGTATTTTTACGTTACGTAAACATTTGTTCTGAATTATTAATTTAGAAACCAATACTCGTAGGTATATAAAATGGTATGAAATGTATACAACAAAAAACAACCGACAATAATCATGGGTTATTAAAATCAACATTTCAATAGTATGCGATGGTATATCATACAGTTTTCCGTTTAATCTTTATACTGAGTCATTGATAATATTATTTCAGTAAATAACGTTATTTAATTTCGTAGTATGATGATTAATGTTTCTAAATTGGTTTAAAAACTATTCCTGTCAGTTGGCTGTCAGTTAGCCCTATTCGATTTAAAATGCCAATAAAATGGTAGATACTATATGTAAAGGGTTAAGTCGATGACACGTGCCGTATTTTATGGCTATTTGACTGCAGAATAATGGTTAATGGAAGACGTATTTTGTTTGTATATAATAAAATAATAAATATATATAGACGTACAATAGTATATACATATTACAATGTGTATAATATACACACTTTTATTTATAACTGCATAATACTATGATCCTGGCGACAGTTACAAACACATTAGGGTTATAAGACGACGTAATTGCACCTTTTCCTGTTTTTTTAAGGGGTTGCGATATCCTGCTTTTAGGCCTATATAATCATTAGGTTTATTACATACCTACTGCTTTTAAATTTTGACCACAATATATTGTTTTATAATAGAATTTCTGATTTCACTACATATTAATATGATATTAAAAAAAGTATTTTTTTAAATTTAACTTCTCATCATGTCGTGTTTTTTGTTGACGTAGGTTACACATCATTTTTTGTTTTGCTCTCGTCCATATTTATTCATCGTCACATTTTTATCACTAATTTCTATAGTTGACTAAAGTTTATATTTGAAGAATTATTATTTAATGAGTGTGAAAACAGTTATTTGTATGCTCTAAAATAATATTTACATTAACATTTATTACTTATCGCTAACAATTATAACTGAAAACATTGGACTTTTTTAATTACCATACTTAGTATTTGTTCAATATATTATAAAATACGAGTAGGTATATAAAGATAAAAAAAAACATTATCGTAACCGTAGGTTTAGCGATATTATATAGGTGTTAAGTCATTGAGGGGATCTCCGTCAGTCCAAGCATTTAATGTCATGAAAAAAGTATTTATTACCTATATATTTCTAACAAGTAACAGCGGGAGCTATAGATAGTAATCTAAGCTATTTATTACTGTAAAATATGAATTTTTTAAATTAGAGGAATAGTAAATCCAATTCTATATTACTCTATAATTTCCGACTACGGGCTACCTTATAAATTATAACTATAGTATAGTTGTAGTATTGTACAATGTACTTATACTGAAACGCGTAGATCTTTGTCCAGAGAGAAATTATGAATGGTCTTTCCATAACGACGTTGTGCGGTCAATGAAGTCAACATGATTATAATGAACCGCCGGCGGCCAATATAAGAGTAGCGGATTTATGACGTCTACAGGTAAAAAAAACATAATAATTACGGTGAAATATAAACAATTACCTACAGAGAACATAATGTTTCACAATAATACAAATTGTACGAACAGGAGATTCCGAGGATGAAAATATTTTTGATTTTCAAATGAGTAAAACAAATACAATATTTATTTTATTTCAGTCAAAAATAAAATTATAACTTTATTATACAACTCTACTCTCTTTGCTCGACTATGATAATATTTACACATTTGAACTCATCATAGAGAAAATAATCGAATGTCTTATCAGTTGTCAATTGAGTAGAAACAAATCAAACAAATCATAAATTGTATGTTCATTTAAACATAGTTTTATTTTTGTATTTTATTAATTACTAAATTTATTCATTTTAACTCATATAAATCAATGTATAATTTACAGTGAAGACATGTAATACTATAAAATAAAATACGAGTATACAAGTAGATAAATAATATTAATATTATATGTTCAAACAAAATACAATTATAATTAAGTGATTCGATGAAACCAAAAGAAAAAGAAAGAAAGTACGTCTTATAACTTGTAGGTTATACTTCTGCATATCTTTAAATATTTTGAGTTAAAAATTCTTAAAATATTTTTGTAGCCGGTGTGATAGGTTATTGATGTATTACACTTATCATAAAAAGCGATGGTTCTGAACTTTTTCGAGTTGATCACTATGTCCATTGCTGTTATTTATCCTTAATTAAAGGAGCATATTCCAGCTAAGAATAAGCGAGTGAGATATAAATACATTTGCAGGTGAGTGAATCATTGAAGTTTCGTTTTATTATACCAAAAACAGCGAAAGCTTTTTATAACTACATACTATATATTAATATATGAGAGTTGAAGAATAGACGGAAATCAAAAAATAATATTCCTGAATTTTTAATCAAACAGGATTTATCAGCATCTGTACTTTATTCAAATATACGATTTTTGAAAGACGTTTTTGAATTTGATTTACCAAAATATTACTTTTTTTCAAGTACAACAGTTGTATAATATTTTATATAGCTGTATATTATATTACTTATTATCTGTGCTATTACCTATGCTCATTTTCTGGTTGTGATATGCTAAATATTATTACCTAACATCTAACTTTAATGGCGTTGTTGGAGAATCGAGATCAGTTACATAATTTTATAGCCTGTAATTTAGTAAATGTAAGTACTCCTCTACAACACTTAAAAATATCCATTAAATCCATTTGCTATTTCAAAATATATTTCGAAATATTTTTATTTTATAAATTAATTTTGATAGACACTTTTAAATTTAGACATATAAACTTTAAAATCATACTTGATCCATGATTTAAACCCATAATTTTTTTAATGTGTATAATAAATAAATAACATAATAAATATTCAATAATTAAGTTCAAACTTCCAATTTATCATTATATTTAATGACATTTATAGGTATTTATATTTTTAACTTGCAGCTATCTAGGTATCTAATACATAAAATAAATACCAACTGCAAATTACAATCATTCCAATAATAATGAAAATTAAACAATTTTAAGTAGATAAATTATTATTATTTACAAAGTTATTGCCAGCGTTAACTAGGTTAAATGGCGGACGTACATTTTCAATATAGATACTCTAGTAAAAGTATTGGTTAACTGTAATACGCAATATATTTTAAGTGAAATAAAACAAGAAATGATAAACGTGACGTACAAAATATGTAAGTATACCATGTACATTGTATATTTTATTATGAAGTCAAAAGTCGTTTTGCGTACACATACAAATATATAATATACATACTGTGTTGTATAGGTACCTATATTGTGATTTATTACATATTTTTTCAAGAATTTTTTAGTTCGTTAACAATGAATAACGAGAAGACCACGTATACCTATTGTAGTTTATATTATATTATTAGAACGATATATTATTATAGTTAAAGTCGTACACTAATACATTACATAGGTTTAACTAAAGTATCTAAAGCCGACGAGTTAAACCAATTTTTTTTTTTAGTGTGAAGACGACGCCCAAAGACGGGGGCGTGGGAAAGAGTAACCCAAGCAAACGGCACCGCGAACGGTTGAACGCCGAGTTGGACACGCTGGCTAACCTGTTGCCGTTCGAACACAATATCCTATCTAAGTTGGACCGGCTGTCCATACTCCGGTTGTCTGTCAGCTACCTGCGTACCAAGAGCTATTTCCAAGGTAAGTGTCGCATATATAAAGTATAGGATATCCGCATAGGTCAGATAAGCGATATAGGTATGATATTATAACGCTTATTTAACACAACATCACAACAAAATGTACTGTTATTTAATATACTCTTAAAAATCGCACGTGGCTGGTCGCTATCGTGTCTATACATTATGCTGTGCGTAGCAGGTATATATATACATATAGACTATATAGAGTAATATATAGAGTACCGCCGCAGTCGAGTCGGTGCAGGTGGCGGCGGCTGTTCGGCTGCGTGTCTGACGGATGCCGCAGACGCGCGTGACGTGACCGAAACACTTTACACGCGACATTGGCATTTTAAAAATAGTTAGGACACGCGACCTTGACCATGGTCAACGGCAGAATCCGTCCATTTGTGTACGATAATATAATGTTATTTGTTTATATTATACTCGACTTATTATTGGATCAAGATGTTTTTTACGTGTGATGCACGAATGTTCGCTTGAAAAATCCATTGTAGAAGGTGTTGCTGGACGATGCGAATATAATAATATTATAGTCTCTTGCGGTTTCGGGCCGACCACGAACGATTTGTTGCCGTGAGTGGGGAAAAAAAAATCGAAAAACAACCGCAATAAAATCGGATACTGCGCCTGGTTCGACAAGACATTCGTGTAGAACATAATATAATATTTCACCTAACACAAACCCACCTTGTTGATATTATTTTATGATTATATAACATTATATCAGACGTATACAGTATACACCTATATTCATACATGATCGATTGTACACGCCATATAATACATATTATGCGCGTGCGGTGTCAAGTAGTTGTGTATATTAGGGCTGGGATTTTAATCCACAAAAACATCTGAAAAATTGTCGTGAAAAAAATCAAAGCTCTTAAAATTTGCTCTATAAAAATATGTATTTCTTTCAGTATAAGAAATTATACAATGGAAATGTGTTGTACAATGGTGATTTGTTTTCAGAAGACACTATAAAATACTATAAGTGCACTAATACAAGTATTTGAATTATTTGTATACAAATATAGATATGAAAACGGTGGTCGACGAGTATTGCATATTATCTATGCCTACAACACGATCAATACTATCTGTGTAGTATGTACTTATCGTACACTCCTTACCAAATTACTGGTTTTTATTGCAACAATAATTTTGCCCTACAATTGCACCACAGTTGTGAATAATGTTATAGACATTTGAATTTATCACTAAAAATGCAAAATAAAAGTTTGATTGAAATAATCAAGATCAATAAAAGTATATAAAACACATGTTTTCATCTTACGGAGATTCGTTTTAAAACTCTAAACAAAAAATTGTTATTGTATCAAAATCCTAGCTCTGCTATGCTCCCAAATTATAAATTATACGTGAATATCGTGATGTAGATAGAATGAACTTTGTGTGTGTTGTAAGGCCCGAGAGTTATTGATGCGGTGCTGCGTTTTCTGAAGAAAATATATTAAGAATTCTTCCCCTTTAACTCTCATGGAATATTATTAAACAGAAAACATCGAATAATTAACAAATCGTATTAAATAGGTTGTCATTATTATATTTTGATAATAAATGCATCTAATAATTATACATAAATATAAAATGCTTGATATATTGAATCATCATTATACTAGGTAGGTATATTAATAATTATTATACTGAATACTGATGCATTAATGCCTATTTATTATAAACTAAGGAAATAGAATTTTAATAATATTTTTTATTTTTTCATATCGGTCACAGACATGTTTAATCTTACATAGACAACGAAAAAAAATTGTTTGTAAACATCTTGAATTGATCCCCCTCCCCCCTCACAATAAGGTAGTAATGTAAACGTGCCTGATCGGACCTGTAAATTTAGTATACAGTATACAGCAACAGCATTCAGTATGAGTACAAACGTATAGATCATCCTGGCCATACCTATACATAAATATTAAATAAATAAATATAATACCCAAGCTCACTGAAGTAACTTTGAGTAGGTACTGGACAGTATTTTGGTAGGGTGCCAGTTGTCTTTAATTTCACGTACGCCTACAACTGTTATGGAACACTAGTATGTACGGTTATTATTATTTAATGAGATTATAATATTTTCATGTAAGCCCGTCTATTGCGATGCGCAGTTTGCTCAAATGATTATTTTACGGCTACAACACGATTCCGCAAATTTGGGGAAACGTATAGATTTTAATAGCCATTGACAAACATACACATTGACATACATATTGACATACATATTTCACAAATTTCATATGTATGTACACGATTCCGCATAATTTTAAATGCAACGTTGCCATACAATTGTCTGCTCTTGTTATTTTTGACAAATTAAACTTTTTCTTTAATTGTATTAAGTTGTTTGGTTAGTAAAATGAGTAAGTGCTTCCATCTAGAGCGCTACTTAATCAATTGCTAAATATAATATAGTTAAATGACATAATAAAAATATGAACATAATAATATTATACATAAAATAAAATAATAATGACCTTAGTAGTTGAAGCCTTAATCAAAATTAAAAAAAATAAAATAAAATTCATTAAATATAAAAAAAAATAACAGTTATATTGTACACAACTATTTAAACAGCTAATATTTTCTTAGTTAAAAATGCATTATATATTAAACAAAAATATTATAAAACATGTAATAATATTAAAGTTGTCAAAACAATGTGGGGTATAAAGTATATTAGGTTCGCTATTCGCCTCAATTATAAAAAATATTAAAGTTTTCAAAATTTAAATTATAATTTTGCAACGTTACATTTCAAATTATGCGGAATCATGTAAATATATATGAAATTTGCGGAATCGTTTATGTATATTAATGGCTATTAAAACCTACACGATTCCGCAAACTTGCGGAATCGTTCTCCGCCGTATTTTACGAAGGCACAATTTTAATTCTCACGTTTATGCGGAGTAATAAAACAATCAACTAAAACTATTATTATTGTAGCATTATTTTCTTTTCTGCACATATATCTATATAAAACAATTATTAAAAATATAGGTACTACTTTTAGACGGGTGCGGCGAGCTTACACATTGTTAAATATTAATTTATATATTATGTACATAATATATGTTTATTAACTATGTATATAGTCATATCACCTACAGGTGTTAATTATACGTATGCATAGTATGGAGTACTGTTGTAATGTTTTTTCAGCATCATGAGGTTACCTATTAAATATGTAAATATACGTAATATACATATTATAGTTTAGATTGAAACGGAAAAGCCACATAAAAAACTAAGCGTAACAAAACCAAGAGCCGAATAAATATTCCATGCCTAAAACCCTTAATGGTTCTATGGAGAAAATACTGAGACGCATGCTCGAATCGTGGAGTTGATATTACGTAACTATATTATAATTTTTAAATAAAAAAAAGGTCATTACGGTTCATGAATATTCATATTACACGTATGTGTAAATTACAATTAATTCATCATAATATACATAAAATGATTTGAAAATAATTTTATTTTCCGTTGCCTTATATAAGTATAAAAATAATTTAATATTCGTTGCTTTTATAAAATGTTAATTAACATTTTTGAATAATTCGAAAATCAAAACAAACAGGTTAAGTAAGTAATTGATTATAATCATACTGTTTGCAAAATCAGCTAATGTAGTTATATGATAAGTATATTACAGATTACAATAAGAAGCAAGTCACGGTAGTTATGATTTAAGAACTAAACAATACTTACTTAAATGACTAATGACATACAATAAAAATCAAATAAATGTGTGTGTTATAGTACTGATGACAAAATCTGTTTATAATTTGAATGTATATCTTTTTAAACTTACATAACATATTGTGTATAATTATTCATATCATAATCATAATAATTATGATTGTAAATTAAATACAACATATTCATTATGCGATAAGGAGATCCGTACATAAACATTATATTTTACATTTTTAGCGTTAAAATTAAATTCATATAATTAATTGGTTAATTATAAAGGACTATGATATTGTATAATATAACAATATCTTATAATGACGAACTTGAGAGTTCATACGCCGCCAAGACAAAAAATATTAATTTATTATTTATATCTTATATTACCCATAACCCAGTACTTACCTTACGTGCTAAATTTGTCAAAATTACTTGTAGGTACATTTCCCGTCTATGTCGGGTCATGATATTTTATTGTGAATGTTGTGTTTTTTCGTTTATAAGTACCTATGTAGTGGCTATGTGTATAGCGTAACTCGTAAAACAACAAAAATTGTTCGTTTCTTAATCGTGTTCATCGTGCATTCGTCTTATATTATAATATATACGCGCTCATTTAGACTATATAGTGTGAACATAATATCGAGTCGCGGGAAATCACGCCTATAATACGCTGCGGAAACAGCAGCAGCAGCAGCAGCCCCGTAACACGCAGGCGTAACTTATAATACGTACTATAATGTACATAGTACATGTGTGTATATATATATATATATATATATACACGACACACGTCATTGTACCTATCTGTAATGAAACGCTAGATGGATAGGGGGATGGTGGAAAAGCGTGTCGCGATGTTTTATTATGCGTGGGAAGATTTAGATTACAGAGCCGTATATATACATATAAGTGTGTGTACGAGTGGAAAACGGGGCGCGAATTGCAGATGCAAAATTAAATCCGATAACGGGGCGAACGTTAAACAACTATAAATATACCGGACAATTTATTACCGTTGAGAGGGTCCCCTGTTCGCTACCGTGTGCGCGCCGATTGAAGATATTGTTTTTTACTTATTTATTCTCATATATACGTATATATATTTACACATAATATATGCGTGTGAGAGATATACACTTCTCTGTCTCTCTATTTCTCAATTTCTCTCTCTCTCTCTCTCTCTCTCCCTCTTCCGCCTTGCATTCGTTTCGTTTGTATTATTATTATTATTTGTTTTTTTTTAAACGAACCGAGAAC